GAGAACCCTTCCTTTGCTCGACTTTATTGCATTCGAATGTCGTATGTGGTGGTTGTCTAGGTTGTCATTCGAGTTGCCATGTGTTGATGATCGAAAGCCAGTATGATCCACGTGTTTTGTGCCGATACGATTTGCCCTAAGGCCTGCTTGATTGAAACGTTTTGAGCTTACTTGCTGTCTGACTTGGTTTGCTTAGCGACAAGCAAACGGTTAAGTGTGGGGGAGTTTGATAGACCAATGATTACACATGTTTTCACCCCATTCTGAAGCCGTTTGAGATGTGGATTCTAGTGTTTTAAGCCGATATCACGCTAGGGTGTGTGTTTATGTCACATTTCAGGTCCCGGCGTTGAAATCGAGGCGGAGAAATGAGTTCTGGGTCGAAAGGAGCGAAGTTGGGACAAAGTAAGCCGCAGGAGGAAAATACCCGGTCAGGTGGCCAAATACCCGACCGGGTATTCACTACTTTTGGGCGCCCGAGAACCGGAGAGGGGCCCGGGCAGAATGCTAAAATCCCCGGTCGGGGATTAGTGGATCAGACCGGGGATTTGCCCTTTACCAAAGCGGCGCGTTTTGCATATACCCGGTCGAAACTCGAAATACCCGACCGGGTATCGCGACCAGGCAGCCAATTTAAGGAGAAAGAAGGCCAACATTGAAGGGTTCCGAGTTTTTGAGAGAGAAAGCGATCCCTAGAGAGAGAAAGCGACGAACCAGAGTTCCCAAGTGCCATAGCTTGATCTTCATCACCATTGGAGCCCGACTTGAGCTTGGAGAAGTGCCGATTAAACGTCCAGGAGCAGAAATCCATCTTCACAGTATGATTTCCGCGTCTGAATCTGCTTTTGCTTCTTTCTCTATGGAGTAGTTCCCCCATTCATCTGAGTATGGGGAACCCTAGATTTGTATGCTAGGTCTGATTGTATGAACCCAAGTACAGAGTTTGTGAATTGATTATATTCGATTGAGGTTTGAATGATTGAATGACTTGAATCCTGATCAAATTCCTGTTGTTTCTGCTTTGACCTAGAATGAGAATATCTGCCTAGGTTGATAGAGTATCCTTAATCGAAGGTGGCGAATTGGTGACTTTAGTCGAGGAGCCAATTCGCTATTCTGTACCGAATTCAATTCGGTAGTGGAGGTTTGGTTCGTTAGGGCCTCAATCCGTTTACTCCGGTGGAGGTTATTCGCCCGCTAGAGACTCAGATTGAGAGGGTCTGGAGACCTTTAGTCGAGACTTCAGACTATTTAAGAACCTTCCGCAGTATAACTTTCATGAAAACTGAACTTGGTAAATTGCAATCCGACTTAACTGCAGTCTAGGGGGAACCATATCCGGGTGACCTCTCTTGACTTGACAACAACCGTTTAACTTGCTTTGTGTTTTTGTTTGCTTGAATCTGCACTAAAAGTTCACTGCTAGATAACGAGAATTCACCGAGTAGTCATCACATCTAGGACCCGGGTTGACAATAAAACCCAAACCCGCTATACTACGCTTTAGGAAGTGGTTACACTTGGCCATTTTCTAGAGTGACAGTAGGAGTGAGTCAATACGTAAACAAACAAGCAACTTCTCATTAGTATTACCACTAACCGTGCAGTACAATGTGTTATAAAAAAGGGAAATGCCAACAATTATAAAATATCCAACAAATGTAACTAATAAACATGAAGTCGCTAAGAAATTGTTTGTGGGATGCACTTCTTGCCGCTAACATCATCAGTACGTTTTCTCTTCCTCTATCTTGTTTTCCTTATCCCGGCTCTCACGATGCCGTTTCTTGTTGGTACCCTTACTCGAGGAAGGAGTCTACCCTACCCTAACTTCTACCCTAGAAACATAGCTTGCAAGCCTCTTCCCTGTTGGAACCGCATGATACGGTCTCTTCATCCTTGCCATTCCTGCTGCCATTGGTACACACAGTAATCAGAATTATCAATTCAGTGATAGAACATGAGATCAATAATGATTTTGTTAGTACCAATACAGTGATAGCCCTACAGACAAAAATATTACAACGAACTACCACCATAGTGATAGATCTACCATTTCAACGAGAGATCTACCATTGCAGTGATATATCTACCACTACAACGATAGACACACTATGTCATTGCAGTGATAGGTCTACCACTGCAGTGATAAATCTACCTCTGCAGCGATAGATTTACCACTGCAATGATAGATCTACCACTGCAGTGATAAACACATTATGTGGCTGAATCGAATTCAACCTATCAAGAAAGAAAACTACAACTGTCGTGATGTACTATACTGAAGGAGACCAATAAATATATGAATTGTGGTTGTTAAAGGAGAATTGCCTCACCTTAGGCAAATCCTGGCGTCACCACTATCGGATTATCGAAGCTCTTCCGCAGATACACGATTGTCGATGGGAAACGATCAAGCGTAGCAGAAAAAAAAAAGACAAGCCAGGTTCGAAGTTGAGGGTTTGGGATGGAAGATGGAGGACAGCCGACGAGAGGAATGGGACGACCGTTGTTGTTAAGGAGAGGATGGGTTACGATAGGAGATAATGATTAGATGCGACGACGGAGAAGGGTTACAGCTGGGGACGGTTCTGGTAGAGATGGTGTGGGAGGGTTTATGGTTTCTAAAGAGAGAGAGAGAACGAGATGAAACAGTGACATAAAACTAAATTCCCATTTAACGCCCTAACTTTTTTAAATTTAACGCCCTAACCTTACCAAATAGACGATATTACCCCATCACTAAAACAACAGCACCCCAATCCCTAATTTTCCCCATCTCCCTTGATTGTTCCGCCCGTGGAAGAAGGAAAGAAAGAAAGATCCCACGCCGGCCAATTCCCCGCCAACTGCTACTGCCGGAACTCGAGGAGGAAGAAGGCAATCAACGCCACCCACCTCCTCTGCCGTCGCACTGCCGCCGCCGCGAACTCGATGAGGAAAAAGGGATTCGACGACGCCCACCTCCTCTATCGCTGCTGCGAACTCGAGGTGGAGGAAGGGATTCGACGATGTCCACCTCCTATGTCGTCGCTCTGTCGCCGCCGTGAACTTGAGGTCGCCCACCTCTTTGTCCCCTCCAAATAATCAGATAGAGAAAGCCAAGTGTTTTTCCCGGAATCGAAACTGGAAGAGCGAAAAGAATCGAAGGTCAGAAAGTGATGGGAATTAAAGCTTGACCGAGAGGGGAAGAAGATGGAGAAGCCTATCTGCTGAGAGGGGGAAGAGAACACAGTTGCGACAGCGAACGACGGCAACTCCCAGGGCAAACGGCGGGGAGGGAGAAAAATTCGAGGGCGAGATTTGGTTAGAGATTAGAAATTGTTTTGGGGCAAAATCGTCAGATTACTTAGTTATTGCGACAAATTTAAAAAAGTTAGGGCGTTAATTAGTACCTCTCACATAAAAAGGGGAAGGAGAAATGAATTTTAAATTTGTTTTGGAACTGCTTCTTTTCCTTTCCAATGTATGTTGGGATCATTAATTACAAATTACCAACTGTTAAATTCCTACCATTAGATTAATAGAAGTTGGTTAGAGATTAGAAATTGTTTTGGGGAAAAATCGTCAGATTACTTAGTTATTGCGACAAATTTAAAAAAGTTAGGGCGTTAATTAGTACCTCTCACATAAAAAGGGGAAGGAGAAATGAATTTTAAATTATGTTTTGGAACTGCTTCTTTTCCTTTCCAATGTATGTTGGGATCATTAATTACAAATTACCAACTGTTAAATTCCTACCATTAGATTAATAGAAGTGAGAATGGACGATAAAGAAGATGACTGTCGAAAATCAGACCCTTTTAAGGGGTATTCACGCTAACCGATCCCATGTGTAGTGTTCCGCCAGAGCCACAGATTCGGTTGGAGTTTTACACTCTGTTTGGGAAGAGGGGTAAATGGGAGGAGGGTGCAAATGTGAGGGGTAAACACAGTTTCCAACACATTTGCACCTGTTTGGTTAATTTGGAACAGTAGGGGGGTGCAAAACGAGAGTGCAAATTTACTGTTTCGGCTTACCCCCCGAATTGGGGTGCAAAGGAAGGAAGGAAGAGAGGGGGAGGGGGGAATTATGGAATTTTGTTTTTCTAATTGTGTTATATATAATTATATAATAATTAATATTATCAATTTCTTCTTTTTATAAATATCATTAATGTAAACATTATTCGGGGTTGACCATTTGACTCTGGAAACAAGTTTATAAATGTTCGTCAAGTCAAATCTAGATCTCTTGGTTGAATCGAATTTGCATTGAAAATTAGATATACAAGGTGTTTGTGGAAAAGATAGAGAGAAATTGTTTGGTTAACTCATTTTATTTGACTAAATAGTTAAAACTTACAAATTCGAACGTGTTTGACTAAGTTTGACAATTTAAGATTAAACTAGACACGAAAACCCTATATAGGATGACCAGTTAGGAGTTGAGCTTCGAGTTTTGAGATCGCTCGATCAATGATTATTACAATTGTTATAATTAATTATTATTTGAGCATTATTATATAATAACTATTTTTAGTAAAGTATATTTATTATTATATACTAATATTTATTTTATTATTTTATGATAATATTTATAATTTTAAAATCTATTTTATAATTTTAAAATCTATTTTAAAATAATATAATTACTTACTTTGCACTTTATTTGCACCCCTACTTTTTCATCCAAACAACAATTTACCCCTCCTTTTTCATCCAAACAACAATTTACCCCTCCACTTACACCCCCAGCAATTTGCACCCCCAGCAATTTGCCCCTCAACTTGCACCCTCCTGCAATTTGCACCCCTTGTTGCCAAACAAAGCGTTACTTCTTAGTTTTACTTATCTCTTGTTTGTTTTCAATTTCTTCAATTTCAGATGCTACATGATGGGAGGGGGAGAGTTGAACTTTGCCCATCGCAAGTATTCTATTCTACTCTACTTTTACCCTTCCTTTCCGCCAACAAACTTCTATCCTTCCTTTCCCGCCAACAAACAATGCAAAAATTTCTATGGCTTCTTCTGGCCAGTACTCTTTCTTTGTCAAGCCGTGCTGCGAAACCTGGAGCCAGACCCAGATCAAGAAGTTCCATTGCCATATCCTGAAGACTTTATCCTATCTCGAGCCGTTCCTCTCCAACAAACTGATTAATGCGTATGGCTACCTGTGCAATCCATTGTACGCCCGCAACGTGTTCGATAAAATGGCCCAACCAAATCCTTTCTATTGGAACACACTTCTTTCTGCTTACTCCAAGTCTGGTTACCTCTCAAGAATGCAAGACATATTTAGCAGAGATGGGGTCTCCTGGACTTCGCTTTCGGCCGGGTATGCGGCTCATCGGTCGGGTGCTGAAGCTATCGGGGTTTATAGCATGATGCTTAGGGAAGGATCTGTTAATTTGAATCGAATTACATTTTCCACCTTTCTAATGTTGTCGTCTAATGATGGACTAGTCGACTTGGGCAGGGCGATTCATGGCCATATTCTGAAATTTGGGTTCAAGGCTTGTGTAGTGGTTGGAAGTTCAATGGTCGATATGTATTCTAAAATAGGGTCGGTTCATGAGGCAGTGAAAGCATTCGATGAAATGCCCCAAAGGAATCTTGTAATGTATAAATACACTGATCACGGGACTTTTACGTCATGGTCTGGTGGAGGGTGCTAAGTATCTCTTTGACAGTATGAAGGAAAGAGATTCAATCACCTGGACGACAATGGTAACTGGTTTTGTACATAATGGATTAGACTGAGATGCCCTTAGTTTATTTCAGGAGGTGAGACTAGCCGGGTGGTGATGGATCAATATACTTTCGGTAGTGTGCTGACTACATGTGGAGGACTGAAGCTCCTTGAAGACGGAGGAGGACAACAAGTTCATGTTTTTATCATCAAGAATGATTATTAAGATAATGTCTTTGTGGGTAGTGCTCTGCTGGATATGTACTGCAAATGTAAAAAAAGTACAATACGCTGAAGCAGTTTATATGAGAATGCGGCACAGGAATGTTGTATCATGGACAACAATGCTGGTGGGCTATGGCCAGAATGGATATGTGCGGAAGCTATTAGGAGTTTCTCCGACATGCAGAAAAATGGGATTGAGCCTGATGATTTTACTTTCAGTAGCATGATCAGTTCATGTGCGAACTTGGCAGGCTTAGAAGAAGGAACTCAATTCCATGCACAAGCCCTAATGACTGGTTTGATTTCTTTTATTACTGTATCCAATGCACTCATTACACTGTATGGTAAATCCGAAAGTGTTGAGTATGCAGTCAGCTGTCGATGAGATGGTGTTCAGGGATGATGTTTCTTGGACTACATTGGTTTCAGGATGTGCACAATTTGAAAATGCTGATAAGACTATCCAATTATTTAAGAAGATGTTGGCCCAAGTCCTAAGACCTGATTCAGTTACATTCATTGGGGTTCTTTGAGCTTGTTGTAGAGCAGGACTAGTGGAAGCAGGGTGTCAGTATTTTGAATGCCCGTTTAGTTCTACATGATGTTGAGGAATCTGAGAAAATAAAGATGCTTGGCCACCATAGTGAGAGGTTGCCTATTGCCTTCGGATTGATATTCATTCCTCGTCATTGTCCTATAAGAGTAGTTAAAAATTTGAGGGTATGCAGGGATTCTGATAATGCTACTAAATACATCTCAAAGATAACTCAGAGGGCGATCCTTGTTAGAGGTGCGGTCAGGTTCCATTTGTTTGAGGATGGAGCTTGCTCTTGTCGGGACTTTTGGAGGGTTCTTTCATTATCCAAAATTGTGACTATATGTGTCACTTAACCTGGATTAAATTAGCCTTGCACAAGGAATTATCTTACTCCAAAAGGATCGTCAAAGTCATCATGGAGCAGTCCGTTCAGCTACAGATGGTGGTAAACCCTAACGTCTAATACCTCCCAGATTTGGTTTTTAGAACTCTTATTCCTTCCTCTTTTATACAGGAGGCTGTATTTAACTTTCTGGCTAGTGCTTAGTGGCATGGGTGGGTATAGCCAATGCAGTCAAAGTCTAGCATCTAGGTAGAAGCAAAATAAATTGGAGATCAAAGATTCGTAAAAGGATAGGTCGAAAGGACAACTCGACTTGAAAAAAACTATGCCATTTTCTTCTTTTTTGGCCAGCAAAACCAACTTAATCACGATTTAAAAGCCTAAAATGCATTGTATCAAAACCCTAAAAAACGATTTAAAAGCCAGTCTCTAAGCCTTCTACTGCGCTTGAGTTGTTTTACTTGGGCTTTTGGTGCAAAAAAGTTTTAGAACAAAGATTACAATATTTGCAATGTTTAAAGCTTAAAAGCCTTTTTGAATGCATTGGATATAAAAAAAATGCATTTGCAGTAGAATGAAGTACAGAAACCTGTTTCGGGACTAGATGACAGTTTTATCAAATGAAACTCGCCATTTGTGTAAACCATTCTGTTCCACGTCCAAAATTTTGTATGATCAATTGGCAAGTCAGCAACACTGTCGTTTTTATTTCCATGTCTTTCTTGAACATCTTTGTCCTTTGATAAGATGCATATGGCATGTAGGAAAAGCTTTTTTGCAGAGTCTGAAATATTTTCTACGAATACCAAGAATAGGTAACAAATGAACTTTTTTCAGGTATAAGATCCAGGGAAAATAATAAAAGCAGTACATTATCCTATTCCTCGTTGTATAGGTGTCTTTGTAGGTAACGGTTCCTTAAAATTTCTGGGTGATTGTCTGAGAGGGTTCTTCCTGACTCAAAAATAATCGGAACAACAGTGCTAACTGAAACAACAAACCCGCAAAGGCTAGAAATATTACTATTTTTCAACCTCATGCAACAGTAATATATGAGGGGACCTTTGATTACATATGCAATAATTGATCGCATCAAGCATAGTCCTGTGAAGATTTGATTGACTCTCCTTGCTCTTGCTGCTGGTTCTGCATCAGGTTGGAAAAGAACAAGTTAAAGTGGAAGGCACATTGGATAACTATCTTCAACTTTATGGGAATCAAAAGAAAATGAAGATTACCTGCAACTCTCTGCAGATCTCAATTACTTCTGCCATAGGAGCCCAGTCACCAAAGTTCCTCTCAACAAACTGGTAAGCAATGCCAGACCTCTTCCTTCCTACTATGAAAAGTCCACCTTTGATCTCACCTTCTCCAGTGAAGTTTTGGTCCAATCCCAGGGATTTGGCCCGTCTGTAATTAGCAATTGCTCGAGGGTTGAAAAGAAAGCCTGATATGAACTTGTCCTTGAGCAGGTTTCCACCACCAAGAGCCTTGAAGAAGTCCATACCTCGATCGAAAAGTACAACACCACCCCAATACCGCGGCCAGAAGTCTTGTACCTTCACAACATCAATGTTACATTAGAGGAAGAACAGATGATAAACTAAACAAGTTCATTATTCGGTATGCACCTCCGACTCTATGTGCTCGTGGAGAACTGCATACAGTTGAACCCCCATTGCGTCAAATAAGGGTTTCCTAGCATAAAGCTGATGAGCTTCGGCTCTGCACATGATGCACCTGTCCTCAACAGAAATTGCACAAGGGGAATAATGTGAATACTACAACTATCATGGTAACATGGCATAATTGTCTACTGCCATTAGATTTGCATAGGTTCACTTCTTATCTAAACCATATGAACATTTGTGAATTGACTAGAACAACTGAAGCAACTTGCATTCAACAGAAGGTTATTCTTAAATGTTATGTTGACCCTTTAATTTGCTTACCCGGGTCGTCTGATACAGAGGATAACCGCTGGTTTGTCACGCCACAATTCTGAAGCCTTCATTGGAGGTCCCTTGGTTTTCAGCAAGCGCTCCATCCCAATCTTATACTCGGGAGTCAGCTTCTGAACAGTTATGTTTTCAATGGTTGCATAAGGAACAACCTGGTCCACTACCGGCGGAGCAGCTATGCAGCCACATGCTCGAGGCTCAGCGGGACCTGCAGAAATCACCCCTTTAAAGACGTGCCCATCTTTGATCTTGAAATCAGCCAGCGACTGTTCTATGGATTTGTCATAAGTCATCATGGTTGCTGCAGAATATCTTGATACGCTGGCCATCTTTCTTGAGGTGGTAGACCCAAAACTTTTGATAAGGCTGTCGCTTCTTGATGTTGTTGGAGGTTTTCTAATGGAGAAGACTTCTGATTTGTTGTTCACAGGTTCTGTACAAGCAGTGGTTCTGTCCAAGAAGCGAGCTACATGACCTCTTTTCATCCCATACTGTGATGCCAGATCGGCATTACTGATGGCAAGAAGTTCTGGCAAACCTTTCCCAGAGGCTTCTAGCCTGTCCCCATAGTTCATCAGAGCGCGATCATGCAGGTATGTTCTTATCTCAAAAGCATCCTAAAGAGCAAAGAGTTGAACAAAAATTTGAGGTTCAATTCATCAATTTGATCATTTTCAGAAAGATAATTACCTCTAGAATCGATTGAGTGTACCTTTTGTCTCCTTGTCAGGTTCATTTCATCCATGTCCTCAGCGTCCATAATTTTCAAAGTTGGCACATCATCCCATCCTTCTTCCAACAACTTGGGGAGCAGCTCTTTCAGAACTCCATTGCCTACAAAGTCTTCCATAGAAAAGGAAGCCATCTTCTTCTCCTTCTTCTTCTCTTAGGTAGAGTGGAGAAAGCAGCAAAGCTTGCTCTGGAAGGGCTCTGTGACGTTAGAAGCAATGCAATTTGTTACACAGATAAGAACAACAGCAACAACAGTAATGGAATAGATATATAGCTGGAGAGGTTGCTAAGAACCTTTGCCTCAGAAATGTCAATGGTGGAAACTTGAAACGGTCTCTTTCCTGGTTAAAAAATTATATCTTGTTGGATGACAGGTTCTTCCACCCACTACTCACTTAAGGTAAAAATACGCGTCATCCTTCCTGCTCTCCAGATTATATGTGCATAGATTGCAAGAGATCAGCTGGCCATGACTTGGTCTGGTCATTTTAGTTTTGATACAGTTAGTAGGTTAGTTTTACTTTCAACATCTGTCATATTTCTTTAAACCGAAACACCATAATAGCAGGTGGGGTTTTGTAGGGCCATATGGAACCAGGTTGGGGAAAGAGACAATGAAGAAGTCCTGCAGGCTGATCCTAAGTAGAAAGATAAAACAAATGCATTTTGAAAATATTATTGTTGCCAGAACTTGCCTCTGGCATTTGGCATTGTAGGGAAAGCATCTTGTATTTTGTTCCTTGTTCCTGTAAGGCATATTAGCTGTTGGAGGATTGTTTTCCCAGATGTACTAGCTAGGGAGAAAAATCAAACAACCAAGTGCAGATTGGGTTTGTGCAATGAAGATTTTCAGTCATATTTCCTAGAGAGTTTGCAGAACTAATTTATGTGCCAGTCTGCCAGACAGGTGGTTAATTACTACTGCTTCGTAATAATAACAAATGAATGAGTTTTGTGCGCATTGATATTGAATTCTATCATTCATGCCTGCCGGCAGATCTACCCTTGTCGTGGCTCTAAATGCCATTAAGGTATCGGGTGTTACTGCCTGGTTGGTACTCAGCATCGTCACATGAATTTTCTTTTCTATTTCCCCCCTGACCCTATTATCTCTACCTCCGGAGGTCGACATATATCTGTGTTTTGGGCGGACTGCACACGAGCTAATACGTACATGTGTTTTGGGTGGACCATCCACTAGCTAATACGATAAGTTACAAGCAGGTGTACAAAATAATGGGTCAACCTAATACGAGCATGAATACTTTATAAGTCGTACAAAGTATAAATTTATGATGTGTGCACGGGAACGATATATTATTTAAATGGGTCGTATTAGAACTAATATTTTTTGGTTCATATAGGAAGCTTGATAGAGCCTTGGTAAATTTGGACTGGATTGAAAAGTTTAAAGACTGTGCTATGGAAGTGTTACCTGCTCATTTATCGGATCATTGTGGGGTGCAAGTAAGTACCACAACTCCGATTAAATCCATGCCCAAACCCTTTAAATATTTTGAATTATGGGTTGAACACCCGTTGTTTCTGGAGATTGTTGATAATGCTTGGAAGGTTAGAGGTATCTGGGAATCCACTGCAGATAATTCAGGGGAAACTAAGGGAAGTTAAAAAGGCATTAAAGAAGTTCAACAGGGAGGTATATGGGGATCTGCAGGACCAAGTAAAAGAGGCGGATGTTGTACTGCACATGGCACATATTGTTGCCTTTTCTAACCCTACATCAGAACATTTTGAGGCTGTTACACAGGGTAAAGAGCAGTATGAGCAAATATCTAGGGCCTATGAGTGCTTTTGTTGGCAAAAATATAGAGAATCCTGGTTAACTGTGGGGGATAAGAGCTCAAATTTCTTCCATCAAGATGTAAAGATACGTAATTCAAAAAGGGCCATCAGGAAGCTTGTAAAAGATACAGGGGAGGAAATATACCAGACAGACCAGATTGTTGAGGAAGTGATTGGTTTCTACAAGAAGCTATTGGGAGAGGTTAATGTTGATATCAATCCAAGTGATGAGGAGGTGAAGAGGCTTGTTCAAAGACAAATCCCTCAGGTTGAATGTGAGGCACTCATTCAGGACATTACTGGTGAAGAAATAAAGGCAGTGGTGTTTAGCATGAACACACAGAAGGCCCCAGGGCCAGATGGGTTTTCTGCAGGGTTTTTTAAGAGGGCTTGGGGAATTATTGGTGAGGATGTGATCAAGGGGATCCTCTTTTTCTTCAACACGGGTACCCTCCCTAGTGATGTTAACTCTACTACTGTTTCTTTGCTTCCAAAAATTCCTAATGCAGATACCTTAAAAAACTTTAGGCCTATTTCATGTATAAACCTTTTATACAAAGTCATTGCTAAGGTCATGGCAAATAGAATTAAGGGGATTATGCCTTTGATAATTAGTACTTCCCAGTCCGCATTCATTAAGGGGAGGAATATCATGGACAATATACTGATGGCTCAAGAGCCGGTGAGTGGGTATAATAGGCGATTACTTTCATCTCGATGTGCAATTAAAGTTGATATAATGAAGGCATTCGACTTTGTGAGTTGGAGATACCTGTTTTTCATGATGAATGCCATGGGATTCCCTGCTACATTTTTGAAGTGGATTAGAAGTTGTTTGCAAATAGCCCACTACAGCATCAATGTTAATGGAAGCCTTTATGGGTTCTTTAGAGCCAGGAAAAATGTGCGTCAGGGTGATCCATTGTCACCTTACCTTTTTACCATTGCAATGGAGGGGTTGTCTTCAATTTTAACTGAGGCAGGCCAGTCAGGGGTTCTCCCATTCCATCCGCAATGTAAGAGAGTAGCATTGAACCACTTGTGTTTTGCTGATGATTTGCTAATTTTCACTAAGGGGTCTGCTCAGGCAATAATGCAAGTTAAAACGATTCTGCAGCGTTTCTATCTGATCTCATGGATTAACAGTAATCCTGCCAAGTGTGAAATCTATTTTGGTGGGGATTCAATTCTCTACAAGCACAATGCTCTGGCTCTTTCAGGGTTTCAGGAAGGAAAACTGCCAGTCCGTTACCTGGTTTGCCACTGCTGTCTGGCAAATTATCTTCAGTGGAAATTGATAGTCTGGTGGAAAAAATTACTAAAAGGATCAAGTCTTGGCAGGCCAAGAAGCTCTCATATGCAGGAAGATTGCAACTGCTTAACTCTGTACTCCCGGGGGTGGTTCAATTCTGGATGCAGATGTTCATTTTACCCAAGCAAGCTCTCAAGAGAATACAAATAGTTTGTTCTCAATTTCTCTAGCATGGACTGGAAGAAGGAAAGGCAAAAGTGGGGTGGGAGCAGGTAGCCCTCCCTAAGCGGGAAGGGGGACTAGAGGTCAAAGATTTGGTTGCTTGGAATCAGGCTTGCACTATAAGAATGCTCTGGTTGTTTTTTATGAATTCAGGGGAGTTATGGGTGGCCTGGATGAAGGAATATAAATGTAGGCAATGTGATCTGTGGTCATTAAGAGTGCAATACAGTAGCTCCTGGGCTTGGAGAAGACTTCTCAAGCTTAGGACTGTGGTTTTCCCCTGGATACAAATGCATAATGATATAGTCTATTGGGATTCAAAAGAGATGGATACTTACTCAATCCGTCGAGTCTGGGAAACTTTGAGGAGAAAGGCTCCTAGAGTCGTGTGGTACAAGTTGGTATGGAATAGTAACTGCCCTCCTCGTTACAGCATGCTTGCCTGACTAATAATGAAGAATGCAATAGTCACAAGGGATAAACTACTAAAATGGGGAAAGATCAGGACAGCAGACTGTCTGCTCTGTGGCTAAGGAGTG